AACGTAAAATTAGTAATAATAAGCAAGAAGGAGCCGGCGAGCAAGTGGATAACTCCACTCAACCAGATAAACTCCAAGGTTTAGACAAATATGCTCTATTAAGTGATTCTGTTCAACAGCATGGATATGAAAAACTTCAAGCGCCTGACGGATATGCTCTATTAGATGAACTGAACCAATATGAACAACTTCCGGCTTCGGACGAACACGCTCTATTGAATGAATCCGGTCGTGGGCCGGTTGAATACAGTCGTTCGCTGGAATATGGCCATGACATATCGGATGAATCCTTTCGATTCAACGGATACGATCAATTGATTGAATACAGTCAAAGAGACGAACTATTTGCGTCAACCGCCTATATTGAAATTGGTGCAGATTCGCTTGGAGATTTGCTGTTTTACCCGATCGACGGCAACCTCGTCTACTCGTTTATTTGAAACACATAACTTCTTCTTTCTGCTCTGTCTCTCTCCAATAACAGTAACTCAACTTTTATTGAGTTTGTTCATAGTACCTCTATGCTTACATCAAGCCCAGTATGGCTATTATTATAAGATTTAGTAATTTGAGATGTAAATATAATTGGCGTCGTGATATCGAATATGCAAAGCATGTAATAAATTAACATGTATGTTGAGAAAGGAATCAACACAGTTGTATATTACCAGAATGTTTACACATACCAAATTTTCTTTCTTTACAAATAGCGAGTATTAAATAGCAACACGCTACAATCCAAGCAGGTCGCAAACGTGCCGGAACGTTTATCCTTGAAAAACTGTGAACACAAGTTGTAGTAAAAATGTATGTTATCAAAAATGTGGAACAAGATATTAATATTAATATTCCCACAGTGATTAGCGTAATGATAAACAGATTTCCACTATCCAAATGTAGATCTTTTTGATACTCTGCACAACTTGTAGCAAAATCAACAAAACTGAGAGAAAACCATCACGAGGTTAATGAAATGATAGTAGTAGTTTATCAACTCAGTCTCTTGATAATGTCGACTCATCAACTGTCAGTAAGGAGATATGAATGGTGATCATTAGTATTGAAACATACTGCCAATTATCTGCGACCTTAATATTCGGAGAAAATTCTCTATTATTTATTCTTTATGATATTGAAATGCACGGAAACTAATACCCCTACCATATTTATGTCATTAGTTGATCTCTTCACATGTTGGTTGTCAACCCTTGTATATTTCATAGCCCCAAAGTATACACCATTGTCATACGCTATCTACATTATGGTGATACTCCTTTTTTAATAAACAAACGTGTATCGTTTTGATATGGTTATTCAAATAAAAAGTTATAATCATATATGCACATTCATGAATTAAGTACAAATCATATCCCGTAAACCTTATTTCATGATACCCAATACAAGGTACCATATAAATTACATTGTAAAAAATTTTTTTATAGTGGTCCTACACAAATAAAGAACTCAATTGATTTTATTCAGGTGGGCGCCATATGCAAGTAGGACTCTGCACTTAGCTCTCTGATACAGATCATAATCTATTATCACTCTATCGTGTTTCTCTATCGTATATTCTCAAATGAGGCTACGCTTGCATGTAAGTAAGGATCGCTGGTTATAAGGACCAATTTTGCTTTGCTCCCGAGATAGTTCTCATAAACAGATTATAAAAAAAAGCCATTCCAATTTATGCTTGCACTATGCTAAATCTTACATACGTCATACCTCAGATCGTGAATTTCCCCCGTCCCAAATCTATCCCTGATTTACAATAATGTAATAATGTCATTTTTGTTTTGTATACGTTAGTTAGTTTTTAACCCCTGTTACGCACAAATGCATGGTCAACTTGTATGATTGTCTGCTTGTGCGGCGATATCTAGTCAAAGCGTAAATCGTGGAAAGGGTTTGAATTGATCGCAAAATATAGTCACGTGTAACGAAATTTCACACTATGTTTCCAAGGCGAAGATCTTTACGTTGATGCAAATGGTACTCACAAAAGCGTAAAAGACGTGAAACGTTATTATTTTCCTTTAAGTTGGATTGTCGACGTAGATAACGTATAAATGATGTTTGCAATTGTTGATGTGAGTGATTGCTGAAGATAAAAATCTAGTCACGATTGAAGCACTACGAATTTCCCGATTCTCGAAGCTGCAGCAATCTACATACAGATTTGAGGCTGTAATCATAGTCAAGGGTATATTCAGCAGGCAGCTATAGAGCTGTTCAGGTTTGTATCAACGAGATCGCCCAAGTGCCTACTGCGTGTTTGCGATACTAAATTATTGAGACTTCTCTTTTCACACCTTGAAACATAAGAATGTTCTTGGCGCCTACCTTCTTGAACAAGACATATGAGCTTAAAACAGGATTCCGATTCCAACCAAGTTCGCTTTGTCCCTCCTCCTGCTGTTGTGTTGCACCTCACTATGGTGAGTCACCACAGGACCGATTTAAAGCGGCGGCACCGAAGCTGATTGAGGATAATCCGACATATTGTGCGAACGCAGTCTACATCGGACGTAAATGTTACATGTTGTATGACGGCGAGTTTGTTGCGTGTTGAGTCACCTATGCACAAGATTAAAACCGAATCGAAATCTAAAGACTTGTAGGGTAGCTTGCAGAAGAGAGAACTCACTTGGAAAAGGACTTTGTACCCATTGTCAAGAGCAAGAATTCAGACATTAGGTAGGGTCGAGTCTTGCAGGATTGGTGAATGAAACTTATATAGAATATCTGACGAAATTGATATATATTCTTTCCTTTTATAAAAGCATTCGGTCCAAAGATCGAGACAAATTTTACAATATTGACTCTTGTCCCCACGCTTGATATTAAGCCGGTGTAGACGGAAATGATCTCGTTGTGGACAGATAAATTGTTTAGGACACAATATTGAGTTTTATTTGTTCAGATCAAGTTCGAGTGGCGGCCCAATAATGAAAGCGACAGACGCTTGAACTAATACTTCGCTCTCTGCCATCAAACTGTTTCTTCAACGTAATCTCATTTGGCCTGTCTCTCCGCTTTGTTTGAAAAATCTGTTCCCTACTCAAAGACATCCTATATAACACGCACGCCATTCAACTTGCCCAGACAATGGAAACTAACTTTGGTGGTACGACCTTGGAACGTAGATTGCTCAGTTGGTCGAGACTAAAGTGAAGGAAGAGAAAGACAGTTTGAGATTGTTTGTTGGGTTTTGGGAGCTCTGTCAGCCATCATTTAGTCGAATCTGTTGCGAAGGCCGGATGAGGTTACGCCCAGTTCGTCAGCAATGAGAGGATGGGCAAAATTTGGTTGACACCGAGAATAAAGATTCGGATACTGTAAAGCACTATATGTAATTCCACCACACCATTATATCGTTGTCTACGCGCTTTTTGCATCGGACTTTGAACCTGCACGGAGTATTACTATTACAATAAATTTTGCAGCGGTTACCACGCTGATTGATCCAAACATTTTGATGAGAGGAAGATCCATACTCTAGCCGCTAGAAAACTAATACAGGATCTTGAAGATAAAAGAGGCTATCTGCATAATAATCAAATATTACCCAAACGGATGGTGTACAGATATTAAAAGTGAAAATCGATCAAGTGAATTATTTTGTTGTAGACGATAAATATAGGAGTGCAATAAATGAATCATTAGGAAGTGGGAATAAGCGGTATTAAATAAAGTTTTCTTTTACATTAACATAGGCTCTTAATGACAAATTAGACTCATGACTGATTAACTTCGATCACTA